CGGCTTCTGGGCTCTCGGTGGCCTTCTGCCGTCCCCTGAGAAACTGCCCCCCGGGCGCCGACCACGCGTGCGGAGACTCCGGACGCGGCTCTTCTGCGAGGGACCAGCTCGTGGCAAAGCCTGGCTTGGCAGTTTCTTCCCTCTCGCCTAACTCTTCTGCTCGGGACCCCTTCTCTGCATACGTTTAGAAATGCCCTCTTACTATTGTTTATTGCATATCTCGCATTTCCCTTTTCTGGAGCTTTGTGTTGCATCGTTTCGTTTGTGTTTATAATTGTAATCCTCTTCTGTCATTTTTTTGACTGTACTGATCTGTCAGCGTTAGAGATAAGTTTGTTGTTGCGTGTGCTGTCTTAGGTGTTTTTGAGGTGTTTTTGATTAGGGCATTTTAAATAAAACATGATTCTTACGGCTACGCAGAGATGTAAAATATTTTTTTTCCAGATTGCAATTCCTGGTAATGTTCGATTAAGATGTATTTCCTGGAATAAGGATCAAGGTTTCATAGCTTGTGGTGGAGAAGATGGGTTACTGAAAGTTTTGAAGTTAGAAGCGCAAACAGGTAAATGAGATTTTTGAAACAAAATCCACCACTTTGCAAAATTCTGAAAGTGCAGCTCTTTTCAGAAGTGACTTTACAGCACTGTATGTTTTGCATCTTTAGAGAGATGCTTGTGCATTTACATAAACAGCAAATATGCTATCACTTTCTTGTGAACATTGTTTTCCTTCAACTTGCCCTACATGTCGCTTGGCAAGCTTTTATATCTACTGAGGTCATCTTTGCTACATCTTCATGGCATTATGTTTCATTTTTGTTCTCTTCAGCATTTATTTTGGAGCTTATTTCATGATATCATGATTGTGTTTGAATGTTCTCTACTGTCTGCATTTAATTTAGAGAGAAATTTGTCTATTTTAGGAATATATTTGAAGAAAAGTGAAGTCTAATATATTTTCAAGTTTTTTTAACCTTTTATGAAAGTAAGCAAAGGGTGATGGCTATTATGATACTCTAAAAAGAGTATCTGAGTTTGGATGACAGATGTGATTAGCAAACATGTCTAGCTGAGAGATGGAAAATTCGTGCTGCAATTACACTTTTACATACTTTTAGGTGAATAGTTTTATTAATGTAAATAGTAGTTTTTAGCCACGCTATTGATACAGACACACTAATGTGTATCTTTAATTATATTAAAACTATTTTTTGTTATTTTTAGATGAAGCAAAACTAAAGGGACTTGCAGCTCCTAGCAATCTTTCTGTGAATCAGACTCTTGAAGGTCATAGTGGTAAGTCTCTTTGGGCATTTAATGTACTTTTGATTAACATAAAAATAGAAAAAGATTTCATGGCATTGATAGAGTAATTTTGTTATAACTTTTTGTTGTAAGGCTGAAATAAAGAGTATCAGTGGTAAAATCAGGTGTGTTACAGCTTGGCTATCTCCTGTTACAAAGTTACCTAATTAAAAGATCTGCAGTCAATTTTTCATGACCTGTGAGTGAATTACTGGGTTGAGAATTAAACTGATCCAGACTTTTGCTCTACTCACGGCCGCTGTGGAGCGCACGATGCAGAATGCGTGCTGCACAACCAGGCTGCACTCTACCAGTTGCTGTTTAAGGTTTGCAGTCTGCTTATGAGTTTTTCTAGATAAGTCTGCTAAATTTGACGTTATAGCCTAATCTGTGTTTTCTATTACTTCTGGTTCGACTTTTTCCAAATCATTTTGTCTCCATTCATTATCCTGAAAATGAAGTATTGATTTAGTGTTGAAGTAGCTGATGCGATCATATTTACCTGTTATCAGCGAGTGACTTTTTAATTTTTTTTTTTTTTAAATCTTGCACTGTTGACTGCTACCATACTTGTTCTCTGACTTCAGTTCGATTAATCTGGAGGTGCTCATCAGTTGGGCTGATTATATTTTTATGTATTTACACATTCATGTTATGTTTGCTCACATACTATCTTGGTAGTTGGTAGATAAACAGTGCTTTACAGCAGAAGATAAGGGCTAGATTGTATGCTGGGCAGCTTGTGCTGGGTGAAATGAATGGCTGGAAGTGAAGACATGAAAGAGTATAGTGCTTGAACAGAGACCAGTTTGTATCTAGTACTGAACAGATGTTACAAGATGATTATTAGAAAAATTGAAGAGGATATTTCAAGTCCAGTATTTGAGTTTTTATGAGTTGGATCACATATCAGACCTGAGGGTCTGAAGAAACAGGGTGTAGAGTGCTCTTTTTGGTAATAAGGAGGGAGATTTTGTTTTAGAATTGCTGCAGTATTGATGATCAAGCTGTAAAAAAGAAAAAAAAAAATAAATCAGCTTCCTATGAGAGGAAGGTCTTGTCAGCTTTGCAGCCAGCACGCTTGAGATGGTCAGAAAGAGCAAAACTATAATTTGGGTTTTCTGTTCAGAAGCAATATTCTGGGTAGAATTGGAAGAGGATGTTACTCAAGTGGGTGAATACATGACCAAAAGAAACAGCTTAGTAGAAGCCTGAAAGAGGAAACAAGAGTGGTACAGAAAGAAGAGTGGCTAAAACTGAATCAAAGTCAGCAGGGCGAATTTCTGTAAAACCCAAAAAACTGAGCAGGGTGACTAAGTTGTATGTGATTGTATTAACTTGTTTGTTAAGTAGAAAAAACACAATTTATAAATTTTTCTAGGTTCTGTGCAAGTGGTGACATGGAATGAACAGTATCAAAAACTAACAACCAGTGATCAAAATGGGCTCATCATTGTGTGGATGCTGTATAAAGGTATTATATAGGACAAACTTGAAACTGGATAATGTTCTGGATAACGGAAATGTATTGTGAGAAATTTTTTTTAGCAGTTTTAACAACTCTTTCTCAGATTGTAAAACTCAAAATAAATCTAAAAGGTGTTCTAAGTTCTTGTTAAGATAACTGGCTAAATTTTTTCATAAAATATTCGTCCTCCAGAGATACCTTAAGAAAAGATGTCAATTCTTAGGCATGTGCATTGTAAACCACCACAAATTTTTCATTTTCGTATCTTTGCTGCTTTATTTCCTTGGAGGAAGGTAAGGTACAGAACAATAAAAAGAAGCAGCGCTTCATTGTGTAAGTTTGGTTTTGTGCATTATTGTACAATTTTAGTAGTTCTGCTGTGGGCATCAAACACAGACATATTGATAGAATTACTAGAACTTACGAATTCTGCTTAGACCAGCAATCAAATACTTTCATAAATACAATCTTTAGAAATGTTTAAGGCAGTGAACTCATACGCATAACCAATATGTTGCAGTGACTGACGCTTTTTTCTTGACATTTGCATGAACACATGTACTTTGCTACATTTAAACAAATTTAAAAGCCAGCAATCAGTCTCAGTCTAATTAACCACTTTCCAATGCAAACGGGGAAGATGAGGAACATTTGTGATTTTTATCTTGGGGACGTTTATTTTATATATATATATTTATATGTATATATATATATATAAAAATACATAAATGGAAACAAGTAAAATGCCAGCTCATTTCCTCATTTCAGGCATAAAATATCATTTGATTAGTCTTTTTACCTGCAATTTGGCTGCTGTTACATGAAGCATCACCTTTAGTGATTATGTTTCTAGTGTGTTTTGTCAGTTTTAAAGTTATCTAAGCTGCAGATCTCTTTCTGAAGGGCCTGTCTCTCAGGCCTTGGCTCCCCTCTGTGATTTCCAGTTTGTCATTTTCTTTTTGGAAGTAGCACATATCTAAACACTGGATTTCAAGATGATAATGTGTGCATAGTCTGAAGGACACTATAGTATAGTCTTGCTAGAGTGTTACGGAAAGGGCAATACAACTTCCTCTTTCAGTTCTTTTTCACAACCT